ACTAAATTAAAGTTCAAGTTCTCTCAAAATACACTCATTTACCGGAAATTTATTTATTGTTTTCTTAGTTTATTATCTAACAGTACTTTAAATTTTTTAAATAAAAACTTAAATTATATATAAAAACAAAATAAATCATTACCAAATATAATAAGTTATATAAATTAAGTAGTTATTATAAATGATTACATAAATAATTGTTATAAATAAATAAAATTGACATTTTAAAAAATTAAAAACTATTAAAATAAATGAATATTCAAATTGTAAACATAATTTTTTATATAGTTTTAAACAGATGAGATATGAAGCTTTTATAATATTAATATATTATAAAATATTATTATTGATAAACCATTTGCATAAACACAAACTAAATAAAAATAATAACTAATAATAATACTAATAACCATAAATAATCTTTTATTTAGCAAAAATAATTATTATTTTTTAGGTATAATCACTTTATTGAAAATTTTAAATTAAACATTTATAGCATATATATATATATATATATATATATATATATATAAAATACTAATAACAGAAAAAGAAATATTGGAAAATAATTATTTGAAAACTTCAATATAAAGATAATTTAACTCATATTATTAGACAGTTTAAGTATTATAATTTGTGTGTGTATGAGACCCCGGAGCTAGTAYTGTAAATTGTCGACATTTATGAGACTTTTTTTTAGTTAGCAAACAAATTGATTGCATCGACACTCAAACAGGACCTAATGGGTGACAGATATTGTTGATATTATTGTTATTATTTTACAATATATTGAAATATTGCAATTGTATTGCAACTGTATCGCAAATTGTTATAGCATATCATTTTTGTAAATAATAAACTATTTGACTTATATTTAATGTGCATTAGAGTGAAATATAAAAAAAATTGCAAATAAATAGATAAATAAAAATATACATTTAAAAATAAATCATATAAATTATATTATATTAATATTTTGTTAAATATATATGTTAATTAATTAAATTATGTTAATGTTTGCTATAATAATAGCAAATAATAAAATATAATATTTACTAATATTCACTAATAAATTAAGCTTTTATTTTAACTATAGGGTACTTAATAATTTTACTAAATAATACTAAATAGTTTGCAATAATAAAATAATTACGTATATAATAAAAATTATTTTATACATAATTTAAGCAATTAATTGTAATCTCTTGAAATATTTAGAAATATTTARGATAATAAAAATAATTATTTAATTAAATTGAACAATTATAACATATTAAACTTACTTAATAATTTAATCATTGATGATGTCATATTGTTGTTTTCATTTATTTAATATTTTAAAAATTACATTAGAATTAATTGTATTAATTAAATTTTAATATTCTTAAAAATAAAAACAAATATTTAATATTCTATCAATACTTATATCACAATTTTGGATAAAATTAAAATATTTTTCATTTATAAAACTAATGATACACAAGAAAAATAAAGTGCTTTAATATTGTCTTATGAGAGGAGTAGTCGWGTCGGCAACGASTGCTTGTGTTGACTACTAAATAATTGAGTACTACTGCCGTCAAAATAACGACACAACAATAGGACGGGTAGTTTTCCGATAGTGTTTTTTGGGAAATAGCTTTACGGATGGCTCAGGTGTTTGGGGAAGCACTTGATGTGTGAGTAAATGAAATACATTGTGTTTACTATGAGTACAGTACAGGCCGTATAGTCACTAAACTCCTAATATAACCCACTTTTCTGGTCATTCAAAAAAAACATCGAAAAAAAACTTATATTTTATATTTGAGTTAACATTCAATCTTCTAGTCTATACATAAATATACACACACTATGAGAGTGCAAACCTGTTATAATACTACAGTTATGTATGTAATAAAGGAAAGGGAGGTTTTTTCTCGAGATAGACATGAAGTTTGAGAAAATACTATATTACTACTACTAAACCCAATAGTGTTTACGGTGTTTTATACTTATTTAAATTATTTTAGTTTGTTTAGTAAATATTATAATAATAGTTTTTGACAGTAAATAATAATATATATCCGATATATTATAAACTCGTAAACGCTATTTCACTATAAAATGATATAATGCAGAGAAATAGCATAGTTTTAATAGAGTATATAAAACTTGATTTCAAGAGTACGTACTGTATATATATATATATATATAGTAAAAATTATATATATATATATATATATATGTACTGTATATACTGTATATAGCGTGCCATTTATGGACAAAAGTTATTTGAATATTGCATTTTTTTGTTTATAAAGTATATACAATTTATATAATTTTATATTATATATAAATATTCTCATTGCTTGTCGTATAATTGAAACTCAATTTGAGCGTAAAAATCCAATACAACGGTTAAATGATTATAATATACACTATAAAAACAACAAACAAATTGATTGATTTGATAGGTACTCCTAAACAATCAATGCTCTCTCTCTCTCTCTCTCTCTCTCTCTCTCTCTCTCTCTCTCTCTCTCTCTCTCTCACTCACTCACTCACTCCATGGTATCGACTAATATGTAACTCATTTGTTACGGCCACAGGACAGATGACTACCTATTGTGTGTATTATAGGCTATAATTTAAGAAAAAAAATAAAAGAGTAGTTTCCCTATTGTGATGTACTTTTGGCAAACTCGTCAACTCATTGTTTAGTTATACACTTCCGCACAGATTATCGTATTAATTGATTGAGTTATAGTTATATTTATTTTATTTTATTTTATTAATTGTTACTAAATTTATTAATCATAATATGTTTTATTTGAATTTTATTTTTATAGTAAACTTAAAAAAATAGTTGAGTACTATGTAAATATTATTACTAGAGTTTAATAATATTATTATTTCTAATGTTACTTATCAATTAACTAATGTATRACTATTTAATATAACAATATTTATTATATTATATTTATATAATATTACTAATACATTATCATTTTATTTTTTACAATATTAAAAATTAGCTATCCTAGTTTTCTAAAAAAAATTAAGAATATTAATTACACAAATTTTTATCTATGCTTATATTAATATGATTTATAACAGGAAAAAAATTATAATTTATTTAATCTTGAATATAAAATCTAAATGATGTATTAATTGAGTTTATATTAATATAATGTATAATACAATAGACAATAGCATCGGAAACTAATTTTACTGTTAAAATTTGATATATCTTAAATTTTTTGGTCCAATTTTAATGTTTTTTTCTGTGTACTGTAAAATAGATAATCTTTTACTATTATACAGACATTTATCTAAATTTTTATTTAATTTTATTTATTATGATAARWATTATTTGTAAGTAAGATAGATTAAGTTGTCACATTGTCTTGTTTTACACAAAACACAATTAAAATGTATAAATTTTGTAACATTTATATGTAAAAAAATAACAATAAATTTGATGAATAATTTAATAATGAAAACAAAAATTAAATAAATAATAAATAACAATTAATGCAATTAAAACGCTGTGTTAGTAATTAAGAGTAAATTGTTTAGTGTTTATCCAAAAAAGATTGAAWTTTTTTCAAGTAATTTATAAGATTTATAGCTGAAATCTCATACATAAACAATACTAAATATTATACAATACTTTTTTTTGTATAAAGTTTTTCTTTATTCAACAATGWTTTTCATTGTGAAATTAGGTAAACCCCTCCAGCATTGTTATCATCAAATAAACAAACAAACAGCAAAATTTTAATATTATTATTGTTGTTATTGTGTTAATAAGCAATTTATAATTCAATAATATTTGATATAAGAAAATACTTAATGTGTAGATAATATTCAAAGCTCTTAATTATTATTATTATTATTTTACATCACTTATACCTAAATAGTTTTTTAGACAGTAGAAGGTTTGCTATCATGTCATATATCAAACAAAAATAATAAATTACTTAAAACACGTAAATAACTTTTATTTTTTATGATTGTTTATTTATAACAAAATTTACAGCAATACTTCATGTGATAAGTAATTAATACATTAAAATTAAAAATAGCTGAAAACATGAATAATTAATTATTTAGAGTAATTGAAAAAAATAGTATAATAGTTTAGTACAATATATAATAATATTATTTTTAGTCAGAAAAATGTTTGTTTAAATACATCATTAATTGTATACTTTGTACCAAATATTTTTTAAGTACAGTATATGTATATCGTATTACACATGTATTTAAATAAATTTTTATAGTTATAATTTATATGGTGTAATGGAAAATTACTAAACAAATAATTAAAAATAAATAAAATAAAAATAAATCTTATTTTTAAAGTGCATTCAAAATATCATAGAAATATATATATATATATATATATATAATAAAAAAGGACATCAACTATCATCATAGGTATGTCCTTCGCACGAGTTTGCGCTTCAATCTCCCAGTCCTCAGGATTTCACTTGACTTGACTTTTGCTTTACATTAGGAGAAAAAAGTTTTTTTTTCATTTCATTTTTTATTTATTTATTCATTTCCAGTGAATAAAGATTAGTTAAAATACGAAATACAAAAAAATATTTATTTATTTATTTTTTTGTAAAATAACTTTTTAAACAATTTTTGTTTTTGTTTTAAATAACATAATAGTTTTGTATATTTCTTAATAATTAATTAAAATATTATTATTATTGATAAAATCCAAATTCATGACTTGCTTTTTGAGATAATTGTACAAGTTCAAAAAAAAGTTTTAATTACATAAAAAAATCTAGTATTGAATATAGTAATTTATCAAAAGTCATATATATATATTACTGTAAAATATAATTAAACTATTAAATAGTTTGCATATTTTTATATGAATTTTTTTTGAACATTTTTTGATAAAATTTATTAGTGTTGAAAAATTGAAAGTTTAAATAAATTATATATATATATATATTTTATACATTTAATTAATTGATAAAATAAATTTAATGGTGATGATAACTAAATGCCAAATATTTAAATTATTATTTTTGATAATATTTTTCAATCATAAATGTCACACATTTATCACATATATTGAATCAAAATATCCACTATTGGTAAGTATTATTAATATTAGTAATAATAACTAAAATAACTTAAATCAAGTTTTTTTAATACTAATTTTTTATTTAGGGCGAGGATGCACCTCCTGGATCGCCCTGGCCATTACCACAACAATGGACACGATCAACCTATGCCTACCTATTGGACCCAAAATTATTTTTTATGACCAGTAATGCCGACAACTGTACGATCGTAACAGAAAGTCTTTCCCGACTATCCGATGAGTTTAACTTATTATTCAAAACTATTGACGACAACCATAACCACAACAACAACAACGACAATAACACCACAAATTCATTAACATCTTTGCGATCAATTAATCTAAAGATTGATACAACCTATCGGTGCAATGAATTATATCCACAACAAAACGATAACGAATTTTACGAGATATCCATACCATACCAGTCCACAAATGATGGTCAAATCCGTGCCGATACCATATGGGGTGCTATTAGAGCTTTGGAAACTTTAAGTCAATTGATTTACATAAACCCGAGCAGACAATTGGTCATCAATGCCACCCGTGTTAGCGATTGGCCACGATTTGGATTTCGCGGTGTTATGTTGGACAGTAGTCGACATTTTTTACCGAAAAACGTAATCCTCGCCAATTTGGACGCAATGGCCTACAATAAGTTCAATGTATTTCACTGGCATATAGTCGACGACCAGTCCTTTCCATTTGARAGCAAAATATTTCCTGAATTGACCGAAAAGGGCGCGTATTCACCGAAACACGTCTACAAACAGACAGACATCGCAGAGATCATTGAGTACGCCAGGTATCGGGGCATTCGGGTCATACCCGAGTTCGACACTCCAGGTATGTCTCAATTTATTATTTTTGTTGTTATCATCATTTATGTGATACTAATTTTATGTAATTATGTTATAATAGTTTTAGATATAATGTCTATAAAATAATTTTATCAGAAAAAAAGTATCAAAAGGCATATTAAAATTTGTTTTTAATAAATTACTTATAAATTATTATTATTATGAATTTTAATTACACATTAATTATATAATATTGTGTGAAATAAAAAACTACTACTATTACTACCACCTTGATTTTGACTGTTCCCAAGTAGTTATAATTAGTTATTAATTATAGTTAATAACTAACAAAGATAAACAAAAAAAATTTTATGGGAAATCTAATAAATAAAATATATAAATAATTATTATGCATAAATTAAAAATATATGTTTCTATATCTACAGTAATTGATACAACTGTAAATATAATTTTAATTTATGCAAAAAATTAATTTATAATTTATTTTATTTATTAGATTTCCCATAAAAAATGTTTATCTTTGTTAGCTATGAACTTAATTAATAACTAATATATAATATATAGACTATATATATAAATATATAGACCATATGATATAATTTACAGGAAATCACTTGTTTATATTGTATATAAAAAATTTTATAAAATTATTAAATATAGTAATTAATAATTTGAATATAATAATAATAATAATAATATTTATAATATCGTTTAAAAGATTGTATATTTAATATACTATATGACTGTATCACAAATTAATAACCTTCAAGTTGTGTTGGCTAAACATAGACATTCAAATTATTAATTATAGAGATAGTCTTTTTTAAAGATATACAAACTGATAGCATACCTGTGCCCTTAGAAATATAAATATTTAATAATAATCCAAATATAGACCTGTTGTTTGGGAATTTTCAACATTTTTTAGTTATAAGAAATAACCTTTAGATTGAATTATAAAAAAAATTATGTAAATTTTTTTCTGAGAGAAACAAATAAGATTTATTAGACAATTATAGCACAATTTTTTTGAATGATATTTTAAAATTATTGTTTATTATTACAATTATAAAAATTTTTTTGTTTGATTATTTGATTTGAATGAATTCAATGAATTAGGACACACTCAAGGTTTCGGTAAAGCTTTTCCGCATTTGTTGACCCCGTGCTATGGCGACAGTGACGACCGTCCATTTACGGCCAAATACATGAAACACGCGACCTCTGAGATACTGAATCCAATGTTGAACTATACGTACGATTTTATGCGCGTATTTTTTGACGAAGTAAAGCGCGTGTTTCGCGATGAGTACGTGCATTTGGGTATGGATGAGGTCTACTATGATTGTTGGCGATCCAATCCACATATCTGGCAATTTATGATCAATAATAGTTTTACTGAACTCAGTCAAGTGGAACAGTATTATACGGAACGTATGATAGACAAGATCAAGGATCTGGGACTCAAGCATATCATATGGCAGGACCCCATTGATAATGGTGTACATGTATGTCATACTATTAATATTTTAATTATGTTTTATTATTAATTGTTTCTCATTTAAATAGATATCTAATGACACATTAGTGATGGTATGGAAGGAAAGCTATAGACACCCGACAGCCACAAGCAATAGCTGGAAGGCTAATGTTCAGCGTATTGTTTCACAGGGTTTGCTATTTATATTTATATTTATTAATAATGTTTGACTTTATATTTTTATTATTATTATGTATTAAATATGATATTATGAAGGCTATCAAGTGATTGTCAGCGCCTGTTGGTATCTAAACTATATATCATACGGACAAGACTGGGAAAAATACTACCGGTGCGATCCTACCAAAAGTTTAGGTATGCTTATATTGTAGTGTTATTTATTTAAAAAATAATAATTATGTGCACTAAATAATAGTATATGATTTAATAATAATAATAATAATAATATAGCCGATGATAAAGAAAAGGCACTCGTGTTGGGCGGTGAGGCCTGTATGTGGGGCGAGTATGTCGACGGAACTAATGTATTGGCCAGACTCTGGTCAGTAGTCGTGAAATATTTTTAAAACTTTAAACTTATTATTTATTTAAATTGTAGGCCTCGAGCTTCGGCAGTGGCTGAGCGTCTCTGGTCAGACCCATTAATGACTAACGATATCGAGAGCGCAAAGTATAGATTGGATCAGCACAGGTATGTTTGCTATTGTTGGTGTTTTGTAATTATAATTATATTTACAGTATTGTAAATTTAATTTGTACAACAATGCAAAAACAAAACCAACCTAACAATCCATGATTAATGATTATATGTGTGTTTTTTGAACTATAGGTGCCGTATGCTCAGGAGGGGTATACCCGCACAGCCTATACTTAATGGTTTTTGTGGTGACTATGAATGGGAAATGAATACAAATGAATTATGATTACAATTTGTTTTATTTTATTATTAATATTCTTATTTTTAAAGTTAATGTTTTAATATAACATATATATATAATTAATATTGTATTTCAGTTTATTTCAAGTTCATTAATATTTGTATTTAAAATTTTAAATACCATTTACTTTATTGTATTATTTGTATATAAATTGTTTGCATTAATTTAAAAGCTTTTATAAATATAACCACTTCCTATTATTTTTTAATTATAGTTCTATTGTTTTTTATTAGTATTATATTAATATTTAATTTATTTGCATTATATTTAATTTAATATATTTTGTATTTACCTTATTTGAATGAAAATTATTATTTACAATACTATAATAGATTTTTATGTTAAGATTTTTTTCTCATTTTATTTATTTAATATAAATTTCTAATATATAGAAGTGTATACTTGTATATTGAAATATAATAAAAAGATGTGTTTTTTAATTTAAAACAATGTTTTATATAGTAATGCTAATTATAAAAACTCAATGTTATTATAATTTTCAAGAAAAAACTATTTGCATTTAGGGTTAGAAAAAATTATAAAAGTATTATTTATAAAAAAAATATTTTCAATAATTTTATATACTTTTAATTCAATGTATTTTTATAAATCATTGATTAATGTAATTTATAATAATATATATTATTTAGTTTGTGATAAATAAAATATAATAAAGTGATTACCAATTACAGAGAGCATAATAATTTTATTGAAAAATATTTTATTATAATAGAATAATTTAAATCTTTATATATATATTTATCTATATCTTTAAAAAAAATAATTGTTGATAATTACTATTAGTGTAAAATTTACAAAACTTATTATAAATTATTATAGATAGTAAAATAATTAATAACATCTATTAATTATTTAATTTGAAATAAGTTTTTGAATATACAGTATTATAATGTACTATAATGTATTAGATGTTTAAATACTATGTTTGTAAATCAATAGATGGCAATAAATGCGTGTGTTTTTTGGTTTAAATTTTAAAAATAATTTACAATTTTTACACATTATTACTATTATTTAGTATATTGAAAACGTTATTTAAATGAAGTTGAAAGTTAAGTTAAGTTAAAGTAATTTACAAAATATTTAAATACAATGAAAGCAATTACAGTATTGTTATTTATATTTAATTACTTAGTTATCAATACTTATTTTACATAATTAAACAATTATTTGAGTACTTTTTGATCTAAATATAGAAGAAATACTTTTATTTATTTTTTTATATTTAATATTTTAATTATTGTTTTAAATAATTATTTAATTAAAGATTGTATTACTGATTAATTATAATAAGAAAAATATTTTTTTTCATACAGTTTGTCAATTAGTTAGTCAATTGAGATATTATAAATAAATTTACAGATTGATACTATTTTAAAAAAATTATAAATCATTATTTATCTATAAACATAATTATATAAATTTAATTTGCTTATGAGTAACATTCATAAGTAATTAACATTTTATACGGATAATAATAAATCTAATTGATTACAATTTGATTATCTCCTGTATAGTCATACAAATTATAAAATCATTGCCATTAAAACATCTTAACACAAATAAAAAACAAATATACATTTTAAATTATTATAAAAATTTAATACTGTATTAGTGTAATGGTTTTGTTATTATTATTATTATTTATAAATACAGTTACAGTATCTCATTGGATCAATCGTATGAATTGATGAAACCCGATATATATATATATATATATATTCATTAATCGATTTGTAGTGTTATGTATGTATATCGCTAATCAAATCGGTGTATAATTTTTAAATATATATAAAATTATGATAAATTAGATTATAGTTATTATAGTAASAGAGAGAGAGAGAGAGAGAGAGAGAGAGAGAGAGAGAGAGAGAGAGAGAGAGAGAGAGAATAATAATAATAATACTATGTATTATATATTTTTAGCAAATTATAGTATGTTTGGCTGCCGGCCTTTAATCCGATTTTTGAAAAAAGTCTATTTTTAATATTGTTATTTAAATTATTAATATAAATAAAATATTCACAACTATTATCTACATCTAAAAAATAAAAATATCTTACAAATCGCATTTGTTATCTTATTTATCAAAAAAATATTAATATAGAAAATAAAAAAATAATTGTATTTCATTTATTAAAATTATATGTGCATCTGTTATATTTAAATTATATAATATTAATATTGTCAAACTATTAATATTAATATTATAATGTTGAAATAAATAAATTGATAGCTTTAAATTTTTTCACAACAAAAACCAACAAAAAATCTTAAACATTTGTCTCACAATTAGTTTATTGAACTCAAACACTGTAAAAACCACATTAAAAATCGTTTAATATTTTTTGTTATTTTGCAATCATTACAAAATGTTTTTTTGTTATTTTTTACTATTAGATGTTTTATTGACAAACAATTAATAGTTAATTCGCAAATGTTGTTAAAAAATTGTTTTTCATTTAAATACTATATATATATATAAAACAAATATATATATAATTTAATTTACATTAATATATACAATTTTTTTAATTTTAACAATTAAATTTCTATAATTAGAATTATTTAATTTTCTAATAAAAATAATTTTATTTAATTATTTCAATGAAAATAAAATGTAAATTGCAAAATTGAAATATATAAATTTATATATAAGTTATATATATATATAATTATATTTTAATACTAATTTTTTTAATATATTATTCAAATCATGGATATATTTAGATAACTATATTTGATTTAATTTTGTGTTAATATTTGATAAAGTAATTATAACATTTTAAGTAACATTTTAATATATCAAAACTTTAAACAATAGTTATTATATATGTATATCTGTATTAAATGCTAATTTATATATCATACACTAATTTACATTTACTAATAAAATGTATAACTAATAAATTATTTGAAACATTGTTGCCAAAGGGTTGTATATTTTAGCTAATATTACATTATATACATACAAATAGAGGTATATTCCGATATATTGTATGATATAGAGTGTAAAGTACATACTGTATGTATGATTTTAATAATAATAAAAAACTATGAAACAATATACTTATATTTTTTAGTCATAAATCAGATATAAAATAATATGTTATTAGTGAACTTTTTTTTAAAAAATTCAAATACATTAATAATTGAGAATACAATATGATATTATTGAAACATTAAACAATTATTATAATGATACATAATTAATCATGAATGTTTTGTTGCATATAATTTAACCATTACTAATTGTTATAACTAAGTGTATTTTTGTAAATTATATTTAATCAAATTTATTATAAATTCTTAATATAAAAACATAATTATTTTGAGCCACGAATTACAATATAATTTTTTTCATTAATATAACACATTTTCTTTTATTTCTAATATTTTTATATTTAAATAAAAGTATTTGATATATGATTCTTATAAGAGTTTTTAAATTGTAAATTTCTGGAAAATTTTCAAAATACATTTAATAGTAAATTATTCAAGTAATATATAGTCTATGACATATTAATTATAATTTAAAATTTGAATTCATTTAGAAAATTGTTATAAAATTATTATATTATATTAATTTTCTAATCTTAAAAATAAAAATGTGTTAAATTGTTAAATTTGTTAAACAAGTGTTAAATTATGGTCTCATTTGTTTGAATGACATTAATGAGAGAAGAGTGAACTTTTTTTTGAGGATATGTTTGTTATTATTAAATATTAAAATGAAATTTGTTTGTTGAGACATAACATAAAATATATTTTCAAATTATTTTTAGACTTTTTTGTTTTTATTATTAAATCTTTAACTCTATATAATCATAAAATTAATTATTATAAATACTTTTAGAAACTTTATTATAATATTCAAATAATTGATGGCTCCTAAAATTTAAATATAAATTTAATTGTATAATATTAAATTTACAATTGTTTTATATATTATATAAAGTAAGAAAAATTATTATTTAGAATAAAATATTTCTGTAACTTTCTTAATTTATTTCCAAATATTCATTATTAACTAAATCTATGTTTTAAAAAACTCATAAAACTCGAGCTCACATTAGACACGAATTTTTAAATGTTAAGTAAATTTTTTTGCTATGTTTTTATGCGTTATTTTAAATGTTGTTAATGAAAACTATAAATATAGTCATTTATATCAAAGATTAGTGAAGATTATATATAATGTTGTTGTTATTTGAGAGATATTTACGGGAGATATATAACCCATGAAATTGCTTAAACATTCAGTGCACACATATTTAGCATTTTATGCTATTAGTTGGATATAAAACATTTCATAAAACTTGTGATAATAGTATTTAATAGTTTTTTATCTAAAAAATTCAAGATATTTTTTTTGCAAAAAAATAAATAATTATTTTATTTGTGGTTTTGAGATTAATTCAATTTATAGATAGTTTGGTAATAATTTTTGCTTTAAATTAAATTTTAACATCTGTGGCAAAAATATTTGGTTTCTCACATAAATATTATAGTTAATAATAAGTTATAAATATTTTATTACAAAAAAAATATTATTAGTGTTTCTCATGGATTATATTGTATATTATTAGTTTGTTGCTATTTATTTATTTATTATTATTATTTAATAAATTAATTTAATTTAAAATCAATGACATTATATTTTGAGCATAAATTTGCTAATTTAAACCCAAAATTTTTAAATAATAAAATAATCATTTATATATAAACTTTTTTAATAGAAAGAAAATTTAATATCAAATTATAAAATAAACTTTTAGATAAATCGTATTAAAATTTACAAATTAAAATCAGATATTTAATCAAGTGAGAAATTTTTTTGTATCAAAAAATTTAAGTTTGATTTAAATTTAACTAAAAACTAATATATATATATATACAGTATATATATTAAATTAAAGGCATTTAAATGAAATAAATTTTTAAAATAATTATTTATTTGTTATTTTTATTTTCATGTAAATCAAATGATTTCAATTAATTGTGTCAAAGATTTATA